CCAACCAAGTCACCTGATCATCTTGCTGCTGATTCATTTGTTGCACCTCAAGTCACTGACCAAACACGCAGACATGAAACAGCCACACATGAGATGCACACATGCATCATTTAGACAAGCGCAAACAAATTAAGCCCAGATGCCATCTGTGCAAGGAGGACCGGGTCAAGCGCATATGGGCCTATCACTGATGGAGGCCTCACATTCCCTGCAGGCGTCATAGGTGGTGGAGGCATTGGTGGATGCATCCCAGGCGTCGTCATTGGGGGAGGCACCATTGGAGCTGCAGGCATTGGGGATGTCATCTGAGGCATCATCATTGGTGGAGGCGACGGCATTGGAGCTGTCATTTGAGGTCCCATCGGCGGCATTGGGGCTGTCATCTGAGGCCCTGTCATTTGTGGAGGCAGCACTGTTGGACCTCCATGCATTGGGGCTGTCATTTGAGGCTCCATCGGTGGAGGCACTGGCGGCTTTGGAGGTGGTGCCCTTGGTGGCACAGTGGATGCTGGGCAGGCTGCCCCTGAAGAGGCAGGTGAGCCAGCTCCTGCTGCCGCAAGCTCATCATAATCAGCCGCATCTACCTAGGATATTGCCAATAAGTGCATACACTACCATATACCAAGCGCATGCACTAATGGCCAAGATACCATGTTCCGCATCATGTTGAGAAGGAGGTCTCGGTGCATTTCCCCTTCCTGAGTCCCCAAATCAGCAACCACCAATGCAGCAACAAGCAAGCACATGCAAATCAACACATACAAATCAGCATATCAAATTATAGCCAAGTCTCATGAAGTTGGCCATCTGCACGGGCAGTCTGGCGATTGGAAATCGTCTGCAGGCTCTCCAGGCCCTGTAGATTGCGAATCAACTCATTGTTGGCCTGCAAGTGCCCTGGTTGCCTTCCGCATTCCTGTGGAAGCCTTGCCCCTTGGCATCTTGAGCCAAGAGACTGCTGAAAGGCCAAATTGCAGGACCATTCACACGCAAGCTGGCATCAAGGAGATGTCATGCACACTCACTCAACAGCACGAATATCGGCCTTCCCAGTCTGGCTCTGAACATCCAGATCTTCATTCCATACCACCAGTAGTACGATCAGCGCGAAAACCTAGCACAAAAGGCAGGCAAGCAACTTCCAGCACTCCAAGGCCAGCAACGGCCCAAACACTGGGCCTGCAAAGGCCCAAACATTAAGACTTAATCCTTTAGGCCCCCAAAGGCCCAAAGGCAGGCTGGCAAAAGCCCAAGCACCCAAGGCCTACAAAGGCCCAGGCACCAACGCAAATAATGAATTGCTGCCAAGGTTCCTTAGGACATTTGAGTTTGAACAAGCTCATCACCAAACCATTCACATCCCATGCGCGCATTGCTTGATTGTTTATGCAGTTCACACATGCATGCACTCATGCACATGTCTTTTAGTCCCTATATAGCTGGCGAGCCTCACACTGCATGCAGCAGCATCAAAAGCTTGCTTGTTCAACCAAAGTCTCAAAGGTCTCGTATTGCAAACTTCATTAACATCAGCAACACGTGTCAGCAACACCCTGAGAGATCACTTGCCTCAACTGGCCATTGCGGGCCATGGAGCGATAGCCAGCAAGCCTTTTCTTCACCATGTGGACCTCAATGATTGCCACGTGTGGCACACAATCATGAAGCAATCCCATGAAGGATCAACAAAAAAAGCTGGGCAAACAATCCCATGGAGCATGCACGCCACACTGGTACACAGCATGCACATTTGATCCCTCACAGCTGCTAGTTCATCGGTCCCACTATGATTGTCCATGAGCCAGCCACAGACCTAACACTTGCACCCCATACTTCCACATTGGGAAGCCACCCTAAGCAAATGATGTCTGCAGCAACTGCTGCCATCGCTCACACTCATCAGGGCTCATCAGGCAGCTTCAGATCCTCTCACTATAGCAAGCAACACACCACCTATACAGCAAAAACATTCAATGTGTCCTTCACGAACAGAAGTTCTCAGCACTCGTCTTGTAGAAGTCCGAAAGACCCTTCAAACTGTCATCTTCACCATTCATGGACCAGTCATCGGTGGCAAACTTCCAGAACTTCACCTGCAGTGCAGACCATGAAACAAACACAATTGGTGCACATGCAGGCTGTAGGTCAAAATCAACCAGGCCTCAAACTGTGTTTTCTGTTTCTTCTCTATTTTTGGCAGCACATAGAGCAAAAACGACTTCACCTTCGCCTCCCAGTGAGCAGCAGATGACTCACTTTCTGGTCGGTAGCGACGCGCAAACGTCAAGGGGAAGCCAGGCGCCGCAACACGTTTCTTTGTCTCCTCCACATCTTTTCTCGACTCATCAGGCTTGCCCCTTGCCTTTGACTTTGCCTTTGACTTAGGCTTTGTCTTGGCACTAGGACGGCCTCGGCCCTTTCGCTTATCCTTGACATCCTCCTCGCATTCCTCCTCTTGTGCTCTCTTGGCACGAGCCTTCACCGGTTTCTCTTCATCTTCAACTTCATTCCCCTGTGCTCTCTTGGCACGAGCCTTCACCGGTTTCTCTTCATCTTCAACTTCATTCCCCAGTGCTCTCTTGGCACGAGCCTTCACCGGTTTCTCCTCATCTTCAACTTCATTCCCCTGTGCTCTCTTGGCGCGAGCCTTCACCGGTTTCTCTTCATCTTCATTCCTCTGCGCTCTCCTGGCACGAGCCTTCACCGGTTTCTCTTCATCTTCAACTTCATTCTCCTCTGCTCTCTTGGCACGAGCCTTCACCGGTTTCTCTTCATCTTCATTCCTCTGTGCTCTCCTGGCACGAGCCTTCACCGGTTTCTCTTCATCTTCAACTTCATTCTCCTCTGCTCTCTTGGCACTAGCCTTCACCAGCATCTCTTCATCCTCTTCAGTCACCTCTGCTCTCCTGAGCCTGCGACGAGCCTTGACCGGCTTCTCTTCCTCCTGTGCCTCTTCTTCATCTTCGACCTCATCAGTTGTCGCACGCTTTCGAGTGACCTTCTCAACAGCTTCTTTGGCTTGACTTGCAGTCTTGCCAGCCTTAAGGTGTAGCTGGTGGCTGCGAGTCACAACCATAGTCGTCTTCTCAGCCGAGACATCTGGTGCATCCCCTGCCTTTGGACAAGGTGTTGGCAAAGCCTCTTCAAGAGCATGTTCAAAGGCCTGCGTGTTGACCACCATTGGGAGTGTTACAACTTCATCTATGCTCTTCGCCTTTCTCACCTTTGGTGGCGGAGGGCTGTCCAAGTCAATCAACTCACAAGAATCCTTCTCGGGCCATAGCAATTTGACGCGTTCCCTTTCTTCTTGCATCCTGAGCCAGAAAGACAAAACATCAAACAACAAAACAAAACTAATTGCATGGGGCTTGTGAAAGCCCAAGACAAGTCCACACAGGCTTCCCAAAGCCCTTAGGCTGGCTTGCCAAAGCCCAAAACTTGTGAAGCAATGCCGCTTAGGCGCAATTTCTTAGCAGACATCCTCCGCTCGGCGTGGGCAAGCGTTTGCTTCAGCTCTGGCAGAGACGTCTTATCCATTTGCTGGACGTCAGAGACCTTTGGCATGCCAGCAGACGATGAAGCCTGAGCAGACAATGAAGACACAGGCGGCGTAGTCTCCAATTCAGTCTCCGTCCACTCAACTTCAGGCTCATCATCCTTCACCTCCTCATCACTGTCGTCTTCCAGGTTGATGACTTTTGCTGCCGCACTCTCTCCAATGGTTGACTTCGGCTTCTCAAAGGCTTTTTGGTAGAGTTCCAGGAGCGCTCGAACTCGTTTGTCCTAAGATTGTCAACCAATCTTGCCACCAAAGCACGCGCAACACAATCCTGAGATGCAAGCAAGTCTCTCGCGGCTTTTCACACCGTTTCCATTTCCGTCTCATAAAGGAGAACATTGGCTTCATCTGGCGCGCGTCCAAATGGGCTTGGTGTTCTGCTAGTTTTGAACTGGGGTAGCCAGCCACAATGTAGAATCGCCATAGCTCATAACCTGACATCTGTCACAGGGCCAAGAAAAAAGAAGATTGCATGTAAGCATGCGCATGAGTAAACCAAGCAACTCAAAGCGTCAACTGATGGTGTTTTCGTGACTCCATGGGCAGCCATAGTGTCAACAAAGACAGTCAGCACATCTGAATTGAAACTTGTATCTTCATATACCTTCTGGCGATTCCTTTTGCCAGTGCCAGCACAAGGTAGATGTTCTTCAGGCACTTCTCATGAGCTGCAAACTGATGTGGCGGTATCTGTGCCAAGACATCTTCAATCTTGTGGCCCTCTGCCATGAAGCAAAACGTAAAGGACGTAAAGGAGCACCACTTGTTCAGCCCAAATGGCTGTCAAGACAAGGCTGGCCAAGACAGCATCAAATGCAATCTATGCAACCAACTTGTGCATGCTCACATTCACCATGCAGTCTCAGGCCACGACAATGGCACATAGCCACGCATGCACCAAACACTAACCCCCTTTAAATTTAAGCAAAGTGCTGCAGGTTGCATGCACATGAAACGCCTACAAAAGCACAGATGTGCTTGCTAAAGCACAGATGTGCTTGCTAAAGCACAGATGTGCTTGCTAAAGCACATCAAACGCATCAAATTATAATGTGAACTACAGAATTCCCTTGTGTTTTACTGTGTGTGCATGTACTGACATACAGAATTAGCTTGTGTTTTACAGTGTGTGCATGTACTGACATACAGAATTTGCTTGTGTTTTACAATGTGCATGCATATGAACATACAGATTTACCTTGCGTTTTGTGTTTCAACTTATATATTCAACTATAGTTGAACATCATCATAATTGACAAAAATACGGTCGTTTAAGAAAAGACCATTTTTCTTGGTCGTTTCAAAAATTTTTGGTCGTTTGACGAAACAACCAAAAAAAGGTGGTCGTTTCAGGTTCCAGGTATATGTGTTTCTTATACGTATATACATATATGAATATATCCCACCAAACCACCAGAGCACGACGCCGAAACGCGGTGGCCTCAACGACTCTTTCACGATATCTTCGGGAGTCGGAGCCGTCCAGCTGAACGGCCAGCTGCCTCACAGCGGCACAACCATCCAGGGGGAGAACAGCTTAGCTCCACATGAAGTTTCTGAGCCTCGTCCTTGCAGCTAGCCACAGCCTTGGCGTCGATGCTTAGAGCAAAACAAATGGAAATCTGAAGTTATTTCAAGACCTTAATGAAGCTTTTAAACGATCTAGGTGTCCGGTCCGCGATCACTTCAACGACATCAAGTGCAGTAAAGCTCTGAAGCTCTTGAAAGCTGATGAGTTGCCGACATGGGAGTTAGCATCCAACGAACTTTTGCGTTCCGATCGAGATACCTCCACGAGATCATGAGCCCCATGGTATCATCTCTGATCTGCAAAGCACCAAAACAAAGCCGAGCGGAGCCTATTGCTCCACTTTTGCAGCGCATCTAAAGCAGACTCCAAGCCTCTCAACACAGTGAGTGGAACACAACAAAAATTGGTGAATGGCACACAAGGCAGGCCCAAAGCTATATGGAACCACCTTGTTGTCTTGTTGACTGATGTCACTGATCACCCACAATTACACGCCACTGACACCCACATGCGCAAGTGTTCATAGAGTTCACAGCTACAAGAGTGTCACAGCCTTCTGGAGTATCCCCTGCACTCCAGGCTGCCACAACAGCAGCTGCTATGTCGTCATCACAGGAATCCTGTCCATTCAACTGCAACACAAGCACCCACGCCACTCAGTTTTGTCTTTCTCAACAACAGCTCTGCAGAATCCAATAAAAAGTGGCCAAGCAAACTTGATCCTTCATTTTATCTGAGTCATCAGTCTTGTATTCAATTCGATTCAATGCAAAACGAACCAGAATCGACGTCAAACCTGACCCGCCTTCTTATCCTCTTCTGTCGGGTGTGTGCCCGTCGTCGTCCGGAGCCTCATGGATCAAAGCCCCAGGAAACAGCCCTCCGTTCGGTCGGGGATTCGCCGCATCAGGCTGCCAGAAGAACAAATATGAACCTCTGCTCGTGTTTTCAATTTAAGGGGCCCCAATTGGACTGCTGGTTCCAGGAAAGACCCTCTTCCCCAACAAGGTCATCAGTCGGTTGTGGGTCTCTTGTCCACTCTTGTCCAACATACTAACATTGCAACACAGCTCCGAATGCGACACGGACATCCTGTGGTAACTCTAAGCCGCCCACAGTTTGTGCAACTCGAACCCGTCGTTCAGGTCACAAAGCTCGACGAAGGAGCGGCAAAAACCGCCGTTGCCTGAAAACTCAACCGTTCAAATCTTCCAATGAGCAAACTACTTTACCCACCTGCCATGGCTCACATGAGCGCATTGGCAGCCATGAAACGATTCAGCTGCATTTAACTTGTGAACACATTTCTGAGAAATAGATAGTGTTGTCAACGAAATGAATGGGAGTTCCACACCATGTTTTCCCAATGACATCACTCCTTGCTAGAATGAGAACATGGACGCTATGCTATGCCTAACTGAATCTGATAGAAATTGGTGACTTGGCTGGGCAATTGAAGCTCATGCGCTGATAAGTTTACACTTGAGCAAAAAAAATGTTCAAAGCCCGCTACAAACTCAACACCTAACATCAGTCACATCAGCGACAAGGTGGGAAGCCCTCCTGCGTCACACGTGCAATCAAGGCAAGGGCGAGAAATCAATTAGCAATGGCACTTCGCGGTGCTATTTCTGAATTGGGCAAAGCACGGTCAGGTAGAGGACAAAAGAATACTGGGCGTTTGAACCCCAGAAATGTTCTTCAATCCAAAAATAGTTTCTGGACTGAATGCGTGAATCAACGCCTTTCCACTTGAAGGGGAAACCTGATGCTCACCAATTCGGGCTGGATAAACCTTTTGCTTTGTAGAATGCAAGGTGTTGACCAGCAAGGCCAACCACACTAAGTCTAAGTTTCAACCACTAAAAAAACACATCGCCCTCTAAAATCGTCTGCGGGCGTTGGGGCATCATCTTCAACATGGCGGCCCCCACATGACATTTGCGACGAGTTGCAACTTGCTGCCAAAAAAACTTATCAAGACTTGCCCATGTGTATCTTCATCATAGCGTCATTAACAGAAAACATCTCAAATTCAAGTCACATAGTTGTTGCAGTGCGTGCAAGAGTGCGTGGGGTATGGTTTGTCTGCCGTCACAGGTTTCTAGCAGGATTCTCCATACTGACTGCAACATTTTGGCTTGCCTCTCAATTTCAATGTGAAACAGTTTGGCTTCCCATACTGCAGCGGTTTGGCCTTCCAACACCTAGGACCTAGAAGTTCCTGCAGTGGTGCGTCGTCCTTTTCGGCTCTTGGCTTTGACAGAGTCGAAAACTCAAATGCCCAGGGCTCACTAATCACGTGAGGCGCGCGTCCTGTACAAAGCAGTGTTCGAGACCACAGCCAATGGAAACCGCAGGAACTGACTCCAAGTGAGTGGAACGACTTAAATACAGTACCATCGGTTCTCGGCATTCACTACCAAACATAGACAGGGCTAAACCTGCCCTGACAAACATAGGAATGGAGGGCAAGGCGTGTTTCTCATTTTTGAGACAGCTTGCTCAAGCAATGGGTCTATCGTTGATGGCACTTTGAGAAAGTGTTCGCACAGTACGACTGCAGGGTTGTTGACTTGTAAGAACGTGACTCCTCAGAACCTTGGAAGCTCAGGCACCCAAAGGCACTCCAAACTCCACCCGCGCCGAAGGTGCCGAGGCGTTGAGGATGTATCGCGTAAACCGTAAGAATCTTCTGGATTCTTAAGTAGATAATCAATGCTGTGCTTTGCATTGTTTTTTGAAGATTGATACAAATTGATATGGATTCGATATGGACTCGGACCAAACGCTCGCGACGCCGGTTACGCCGCCCGGGTGAGATTGCATTATCCACATCGCAGATGTATGTTCGCCAGGTAGGCTGCCCGACAGAAGTTTCTTTTCAATAGTTGCGATTCTAACCCTTACCTCCTAGAAACCAACGAAACCAACATTAAAATAGCTGGGACCGTGTGGGCGGCCATTTTTCACACCGGAAAGCCTTTTATCAATATAAGTTTCTCTACAAATTCACCTAGCTTACTCCCAGCTTAACACAACCCACCAAGTGAGTGGACCCAGACCACAACCAACACCTGCACTCTCAGCAGCATTTTTCAATGCTCAGAACGCTTGATCATCCTGCCAGGTCGGCCTGCTGGGTGGCAGCCCCACCTTCCCAGCCCAGGGCTCTTGGGCTCTAAGAGATGCTGATCGCTGCATTCACAAGCTGCATTCTTCCCTTGTAGGGCAAGGGTTCCTGTAGAGAGCACCACACTCCCTGAACACTTGGCAAAAAGGCCCTGCACCAGAGTGTTCAACAGATTCTGGCTTCTCCACAAGTTGTTCAGAATTTCTTGGAGGAGGGTGGGGGAAATAAAGCGAAAATGCCAAACCAGGCACAAAACACTCTGGGCTTCTTGACACAAGTCAACAAAAGGGTCGACAGCCAGGGTGAATTAGAGAGAGTGGTATTCTTACGTGCAAGCCCATAAGAATCCTACACCTCTACAAATTCACCTAGCTTACTCCCAGGTTAACACAACCCACCAAGTGAGTGGACCCAAACCACAACCAACACCTGCACTCTCAGCAGCATTTTTCAATGCTCAGAACGCTTGATCAATCCTGCCAGGTGGGCCTGCTGGGTGGCAGCCCAGCAGGCCCACCTTCCCAGCCCTATCGAAGAATTGATCAAGCCCCCAACTGTCCAGGTGGGTTACCACAACCCTGCTCAAAGTCCTTCCACGGAGCCTCCAACAACGTCCGCGCATTTATGCGGACTCTTCGAGCTGGATTAAAGCCTTCCAAGCGATTGCGGCTCAAGTCATCTGCCCATTCATTTCTCACTCCAGTAACGTGCTGCGGGTCTAAACAGACGCCCAGGGCACAGCAGTGGAAGCCAATAGCTTGCAGCACATAACATAATGGGGCCTGCATAGTCAGCTTTTTTCGCGCACTAGCAGCAGTGCCCGAGTTGTCACACAGCTGACGCAAGCGCAAAGTGTAGCCCCCTGGAGTATCTTCACAGCCTGTCCGCGCGACAAGCAAGCACAGCTGCGCCACTCCTTCAAAGGAGGCGATATCTTGCTGCAAGGTCGCTTTTGCGCACAGCCAAGCCGGCAAAGATGCTGGAACCAACTGCTCACTGAACCACGACACTTCAGACTTCCTGACATCAGCCGATGGGCACCACCAACCACCAATGCCAGCGCGATGCTGGGTGGCAAATGCATCAGCTGCGGCTTGGCCCCGGTCTGGCTCCAACACCCGAAGAGGAATTTTGACTTGGCGCTCAACTGCACGAAGAAAAAACTGTGCAGCCCAAGTGGAAGCCCGGTTGCATGGAACCATATCCTGAAAATAATCATAGAAAACGCAGCTAATCGAACCCTGGCGAACCCGCGGAGTTCTCAAAGGCTCGCTGTCCAGAGTGGACACTGGGCAATTCCAAACTGAATGGAGTTTCCATCCACGGAGCACATCACAATCCCGCAAATCCTGGGAAACATAGAGTCCATCAGTTAGTTTGGCGAGCAAAGCCCTAAATTGTCCAGTGGACAATGAGCGAAATACACAAACTGGCTTGAAAAGTAATTGGTACAAGCTTTGCAACCACGGCTTCAGCCAGTAAGCTCCGCCGCAAAACCAGACAAGGAGGCCCACGCAACGCTCGACATGTTTGCGCGGCACCTTGCGCCGCACCGATGTCAATTCTTGTAGTAGTCCCACCAACATCTGCCGCTTGTTGTCCGGCAATTCAGCTTGGCCAAGACCCCAATCAAAAGACCAACCAAGCCACGATTGCAAGTGGCCCATGCGCACTTTCTCCCAAGAGAGAGGGACTCCAAGCGCTGCTAAGAAAAGGAGCAAAGATGTAGCCAAGAGGGGGCACACCCCGGCAGGAAACAATGCTAGCCCATCATCCACGTAGAGGAAAAAACCGTGCTTGACCCAAAGAAATTGGTGACAATGCCGGACGAGGAAGGCACCAACCCGCGAGAACCAGTAAGCTGCCCACCGACATCCAAAATAGCAAGACCTGTAGGCAAACCAGCGGCCTTTGACCACAAAGCAGGATAGACCCTGCTCTGCAGGGGCAACCTTCACCAGCTTGTGAGCTCCCCTCACATCGAAGTTCAGTGCGCCCCAGCACTCCCCAGGCTGGGTGTGTGACATGAAACGTTGCACACTTTCAAATGTTGGCAAGCGTACCTTTTCCTCAATCACACAACGGCTGTTTGCGTCAGAGACGGCGCCGTCGCCAATGAGACGAGGTTTTTTGCCAGGTGGTTGAGCAATCCCTAGTTTTCCCGCAGCTACAAGGTCACCCCAACGCAGCTTCGCTTCAGCTTCACCGCCAAGAAGTTCAAAAGCATGTCCTGCCGCCACGTCTTTTAGCATGAGATCAAGTGTGAGATCTTCACGGTCAAGTCCACTACGCCACGGTTGAACATGAATGGAAAGGTCATCTAATTGGGAATCCACTTGGGTGGAAACAGGTTTGCAAATGCCAGAGGCAGGGATTGGCTCCACCACACCAGTTGGAACCCCCTGCGCCAGTAATGGCGGCAATGAACAATCCACATCGTTGCAGTAAGCACCCAAAGCTGACCAAACGTCCAGGAGAAAAGGTTGATGAGGACTGACCATGTCACTGCAGGCAAAACCCTTGCTCGCGAGAAAGGTCAACAAAGTCTGTCGCGCTTCAGAAACTTCCATTGCTGAAAAAAGCATCTCATCTGAAGGTTCACGCGAATGCTTCTGCAATCTGCCGACTGCGTCCCAAGAAACTACTAAGGCTTGGAATTGATTCCGCAAGTCCCGCAGCAGGTCACGCGCACCCCGCAGCGCTAACCAATCAGCAGACGAGGCGCAGCCACCACCATCCGGAATAGGAAATTCCGCGCGCGGCGCAGTGGCTCCACGCCCTATGCTGTCGACAGCCGTCGCTGGAGGAGCTGAACTAGTTACCGCACCTAATTCGGCCGCTTGGGGCACGCAGGACAAAGCTAGCTCACGTTGATCCAGCATAGATCTCATTTCATTGGCTTCAAGATCTAGTCACTCGGCGTGTTGGAATTTGCAGTCGTCACCAAAGGCGCACTTCCCAGTTTTCTTGAAGGCAAAACACTGAGATTGAGCTCGCTGCTTTGGCTCACCAGTTAGCTTGCCCTTGCCCTGGTTGTCCCGTTGCTTCTTGCCATCAGTGAGAGGCTGCGGCAACCGACGCTTTGGCTTTTTGACCACACCATCCTCTTC